GTCTTTCCTTGAGCTTATTGCTAGTGGTTTGAACAATGCCAGGAAGGCAACATCTACAGCAAGAACACTGTACTGATGGAAATGCCCGATCATTTCCTTTTTAATAAGTTGAAATAACTTAAATCAATTGGACAGAAATTCTGAATGTTTTGGTTAACAAACTGTAGCTTTATAACAAAATCTGGACTGCTAACCTGTTAGCCAATTGATCATACAATCATCATCTTCTATTGTGAGTTCAGACTTCATAACCATGCTCTCCTTTCTCTGTGAACACTGCCAGGCGGAGAATACATCGCAAAATATCATTTTGAAACCTCTTTGCTGTTCAGTCAGCAGGTACTGCTTTGTGCATTTCAGACCACCAACATAGCTGATATATTATTCTGCATGTGGTGCTTGTTGTATGAAACCAAAATCCCACTCTTATGTATTGTCAAATATCTGTGTGACAGTGTATCTAGATCTATGGCAACTAATGATTATGATATAATTTGTTTGAGGAGACAACCAGTTTGTGGGAACTGGAGACTATCAGATAAAAATTCCCAAACGTGGGAATTTCACAAGACAGAGTTAACCTTTGTCAATATGTCTTGAGTGTACTCTGTTATATGTACAGAAATAACATAAATAGCACACTTTTTATTTACTGTATGATGTGTGTGATTTACACACAGAGTACTGAATGATGAGACACTGTTTACAGTAATCCCAAGAGGGTGAGCAGACAGAGTGAATAGGAAGTGCTAGATACTAGGAGAACAGATGGCAAAGGGAGCTGTGAAATCTGTGCATTTCATTTTTTTTTCTTATATTTTATTTTATGAATCCCTGCAATAAAATGCCAGTGAAGCTTTTAGTGGCCTGTTATGGGTACAAACATCTTAACTAATTTATGTGTAATGTTCATGCCATTAATATGGTAAAGCTACAAATGATGGTTTAATAGCAAATTTTATATTAAGTTCTGGGCTCTTGCTGTTATAAACCAATCTCCTTTCCATTTAATTGTGAATAATTTCGCCAATCATTTTTCCATCTAACCATCCATCTGTCTTCTATATGCCTGCCCTGGTCAGGGTCATGGGTCCAATAAATACTGATGGAGTTGGACCTAATAATTTGTAATTTTTACATATTACCCATTCTAGATTTTTTTTCTGTCCATTTCAAACTTATCACAAACATTTTTCTCTATTTCTCTAATTTTCTCCAACCAATGAGAATTGGTTGATCTACTTGCTTTAAATACACAGGCGGCATCCCTGAATAACTCCAGTTGCTCCATGTAATCATTGCTCTGAATATCCCTAAACTTCTTTGATATCCCACACTTTCCTCCCCACCCCTCTTTAACACATTTCAAGTTTTGCTCACTTTGAAGTGTATGCCATGTGTTGCTTTGCTGACCTACAGCTCTATAAGGTCCAGTTCAGCATAACTGAATCAATGCCATTTTTTGGTGTGGTATCTCTGGCATTAGAAAGTCACTTCCGCCCTCTACCAGGCTGGTTTCTGGTCATACCCAGTGTTCCTGCTTCACTTTATTCTTGTGTACTGCGGTCTTAGAAATATTGAACCACCTGCTGCTCAGTGTAGCCTTCAGCCAGGAGAACCAGGATTAAACCAGTATTTAAAAAATGCAAATTTGTTTACAAATATAGAGTGGTCTCTTAATTTTTCTGCGGCTGTATTTTGGTTAACTGTAGAGCAGTGGTTTTCAAACATTTTGGACCAAGTACCACTTGAGCTCAAACAAAAGTAGCCAAGTATCATGTGGGTGAAATAATCGCAGTGACCTGAATCACAGCAATAAATTATCATCATCATCTCGCCTACCACCTGGGGAACCTCGAGTACCACTGATGGTACACGTACCACAGTTTGAGAACCACTACTGTTTTGAAAGGAACCAGTTGAGGTATTTCAGGCATCTATCTAGGATGCCTCCTGGCTGGCTCCCTGGGGAGGTGTTTCAGGTATGTCCAACTGGGATGAGGCCCCGGGGCAGACCCAGTACACGCTGGGGAGATTATATCTCTCGGCTGGCCTGGGAACGTCTTGGTATTCCTCTGGAGGAGATGGCTGGGGAGAGGGTGACCCCACCCCGGATAAGCGGCAGACAATGGATGGATAGACGGCTGATGGATGGATAGACGGCTGATGGATGGGTGGATAGATGGATGGATACTGTAGACCATTTTTAGAACAATGAGTCCAATAGTTATACTTTAGTGCAAAATGTATCATGATGAGTTAATGCAATTTATCTATCTATCCAATTCCTATGGCTTATCCAATATAGACAGCTAGAGCTTTTCCCAGCCAAGACACAGGGAAGATCGCAAATGGGACGCCAGTCCGTTGCAGGACAAACATGCACAGTCATATACTATACTGTAGATAATCTCATCTGTCTGCATCTCTTTGAACAGCTGGAGGAAACACAAGCTCCACACACACCACAGGAGTCAAAGCTCTAAACATGGAGTTGGGAAGCAACAGGGCTGCTCACCAGCAGCATCTGCAGAACATTTTGATTGGGGTGGTCATTAGGAGGCAATTATATTTATGGGGGTGGCTGTGCCACACCGTGTCTCTTCCATGGTTCCCCTTAGAAAATAAAATCATTTATATTACATTGACGTGGGGTAGCAATAGCAGTTGCTATGCATTTACTAGGGGTGGACACTCCTGCTACCCATTAATTCACAGTGAATTTAATTCGAATTTAAATGTACTTTAAATAATGTTTTCTGAGTATAAACGTAATCAAGCAAAACCAGAACCAAAAAGAAGCTTAAATTTATTTAAAATATTGATATTTCATTACCTCTTTAAATCAGATCATCCATGGCTTCTCCTACCACTACTCCGCCAATGATATCCATGTCTGCTTGACCTTCTCTCCTGATGACACCATGGTCTCTGCTCGGATCTCTGCATGCCTGGCTGACATCGCAATCTGAATGAGGGACCATCACCTCCAGCTTAATCTCTCCAAGACTGAGCTTCTTGTCCTTCCTGCCAGCCCTACCATCCACCATGACATCACTGTTCAGCTTGGCTCATCCATACCATCTCCGACACGGTCCGCCAGGAACCTAGGGCTAATGACAGACAACCAGCTGTGCTTTGCTGAGCACATGGCAGCGCTCTCCTGATCTTGCAGATTTACGCTGTATAACATCAGGAAGATCAGGCCTTTTCGGTCTCAGTATGCAGTTCAGCTTCTAGTCCAGGCACTTGTTACCTCACGACTTCACGTTTGCTCCACTTCACTCTCTACTAGCAGGTCGACCCGCTTATGCTATTGGACCATATGACAACATGCCTGATATTCAGTCAGCCTGTTAGGGTCAGTGCCTGACGGGCGCTACTGTTCTTTTGTGTCATAGGTTTGAGGCTGGCTTGAGATTTTTATTCTCTACTATTTATTTTGTGTTTTCTTATTCTAGTTTCCCCAGGTTCATTGTGATTATTTCTATATATTCTTGTTGCTAGTTTTTCCTGGTGGTGTTTCCCCTAGTGCTTGACGTAGATTTTTAGTTTTTAGTGTTTGTTAATCCTTTTAGTTCTATGTGTTCTTAGAGTTATTTTGTCCACCTGTTTCTCATTGCTCCTGTGTCTCCCTTGATTGGTTCATTGATTTGGTTACACCTGTTCCTTGTTTTCCTTGTATGCATTTAAGTGCCTTCCCTCACTATGTGCTTTAGTCGGCCAATGTAATATCATGGTGTAATGTTGGCCCTTGTATACTATTCCCTGTGTTGCCCTCCTCCCTGGTTATGTTTCCCTTATGGTTTTGTAGCTTGTTTTAGTATGTAGTTCTTTTATAGTTTTCTGACCCTTCATGGTCCTTTATTTTGTGTGATTCTCAGTGTTCTGAACTTCAAAATCTGTCCTTAAATAAAACCCGTTTTTTGTTTTGGAGCCACAAGAGGGTCATCACATCTTTTCCCACCTACTGTACAATATAGCCCGAGCCTGTAACATAGCCCAAGCGTGTCTAATATCACACCTCTCCTTGCCTCTCTTCACTGGTTCCCTATCGGCCCTCGCATCAAGTTCCAATCCTCGGGCTGGTTTACAGGTCCATTAATGGACAGGCACCTATCAAAAGGCTTTATCAAAAGGCTCCTCACGACCTATATGTCCCCCCTTCAGTCAGAAAGCAAATGCTGCTTGGAACTCCATCATGAGAGAAGTGTCACATCAGATGGTTCACCTGTCTGGTTCCCTGACAGTGAAATGAGCTGCTGAACCATGTCTGGTCATCAGACTCCCTCTCCACCTTAACTGAAACACCTTTAAACCCATCTGTTCCATGGATTCTTTTACCAACCTGATGCCTGTTTATGTTCTATGAAGGCTCTTGTGATTCACTCACTGGCACTTGAATAGTCGTATTAGTTTCTTACTTGGTTAATACTTAATGTGTAGCTGATGCGTATCTCATGATCCAGTACTGCTTACACTTGTGTCTGGCCATTAATTGGAAGCTCAGCCTAGCTGCTTTTATGCCTAGTTGATGCCTTGACAGCATGAATGTTTGTATTGTGCCATTTGCTTCTTTTGTACCTTGCTTTGGACAAATGAGTGTGTCAAATATGTAAAACGTAGGCCTAATTGTAAATTTCAAAATGTTGCATCAATTGATGAAATGCTGTTTAGTCCTGCGTGAAAAAGTTAGTGTTATGTATTGTGAACGATTTTTATTTTCTTTCACATTATTTTACACGTCAGTTAAATCACGAAGAAAGTAAAGAATTAAAATAAAATAAAAAACGTCACCATACAGCGTCAAATTATAACGGTGGAAATTGACCAGTGGTCCAGCGGCCGTCTGTGAGACCTGCAGAGCTGCCCACGCTCGGAGCCCAGAGCGGCTCCTTAAAGCGGCAGCGCCGTAGACAGACACCCAAACTGCAGCTGGCACGTGTGCCGCCCCCCTCCCACTGTAGTCCAGACCCTCTCTAATGGAAACCTAAGGGCAGTCCTTACTGCAGTCACCGTCAAAGCAGCAGCAACCTACAAATCTGCAAGGGAACGGGGATCGCTGCTTTTTTCACCTCTCCCCCATCCAGCTTTCCATAGACATACACTCAGAAATCAGTTTTCATGTTTTTCTTTGCCAAGACATAAGCGATAGGAATACGACACCTTTCTTTTAATTAAGAAAACAAAGGCGCCTCGTCAGTTTTTTTCCGTCTCGCCGTCTTGTCTTATTTATTTTACTAATTGCGGAAGCTGACGTTATTAAACCAGGCTTTGTGGTCTCTAGTCTACCAGAACATATATTTTGGAGTATACATGTTTAAGGGATGGAAGCTGCAAATCCTTCATTTGGATGTAAAAGGCTCTTCACTGTGATTGTTCTCGTTGAAGCGGAGATTCCCTGATTTCTTTACTCTTTGCCACACTACGAGTTTATCCCTATAGAGGGCTTTGAATCTTTTACTTCAGTTTGTCTAGGATGTCTGGTAGGAAAACGGTTGACGATATTCTATATGGCCAAATATGATCTTCCTTGAATTTTAACTTCGTAAACTATGTCAGTTATTAATGTTTATAAATAAGTGGACGTGTTTGTTTTACTTGCATCGTTAAAATATCGGCTGAGGCATTTTAGTAAATTGGGCAACTGTTGCTTTTTGCTTGTTTAACTGATAACGCCTCTCCACAAGTTGCGCTGTTTAGGTCGTGAGCGACTCCCGACCTCACGACACTGAGCGTGGGCTACAGTTTCACGCACTGGGGCAGGCATCTGATATCAAATGGGAAATACAATAGATCCAGCGCAGCATCAACAGAATTACGCCTGTGGTTTTCCCGCTGTAATTTAGATTTAGTTTGTGTGAGTGCACAAAAAACCCGTAGATTTTTTTAAAGGATTAATCACATTTAGGCATATAATGTCGTATACTATAATTTCAGAGAACGATCTGGATAGCCTTCAGGACTTATGAGTATGTACAGGAGGGTGTGAACTTGCCTGCCCCCCGACAACACTTATTTCATCTGCTTCAATATTTTATTACGGGCTGTCGTGATGATGGATCTGAAAGTGGAGTCAGAAGAAGCGGACTGTAGCCAGCCACCCCCGATCGACGTTTTTGCGAACAGGTCAACGTTGCACGGCATCTCCCACATCTTCACTTACGAGCGGATCGGCATTAGACGCTGCTTGTGGGCCGTGTTTTTCCTGGGATCACTGGCTTTCCTAGTGTGCGTCTGTGCGGACCGCATACGCTTCTATCTCGAGTACCCGCATGTCACCAAACTGGACGAAGTGACGGCGCCGGTTATGGTGTTCCCCGCTGTCACCTTCTGTAACCTGAACTCCTTTCGCTTCAGCCGCGTCACACGCAACGACATTTATCATGCCGGGGAGTTCCTGGAACTGCTGAACAATAGGTGCGTTTACTTGTTATTAGTTGCAGGGAAATGATCTGGATGGGATTTGGAGAACAAGATGGTGTCAGGAAGATCAACGGCTTATCCCGTAGTAATAGGGGCAAAGGCATTTACTTGAAATGAGACAATATAGGAAAAACATTTTATGATTCTTTCACATTTCTTCATCTCTATAATAGGTTCCCAGGTGTATAAACCCATATAAATCTAATGTGGCCACAAGGCACACCAGTTTTCATTTAATCTCAACATTAAAACATGATTGATGTTATTATTTGGACTATGCTTCACCTTACCTTGTGTTTAATGAGACGGTAATTGAAAGGTGAGGCTAGGACCTCCAGGATATTACCTCTTTCTAGATAATTATGTGTCCCTTTGGTAAAAGTAGTCCATTTAGAAAATGAAAAAATATCAAAGCAAATGGATTATGCTTGGTTCAAGACCAGGTCTGAAGACCTCATAGGTCCTGACTAGGGATGCATAACTCCAGTTCTGGGGTGGCTTTATAAAATGAATTTGAATTACTTGACATTCACCTTGTATGCTAGAGATGACTACAGCAATTACTTCGGTATTCAAAGGTTCAAGCACAGAAAATAGTACATTATGAGGGTTTATTTCTTGTTAGATTCTTTTTAATTCTTTTGCAAGTAGATAACTGGAAATAAGTAATGCAAGCAATGTTTTCTGAGAGAAAATTAGATTTCTGTTAGAGGCAAACTAAATGCTGACAGACCACAATCACCAGCTCAGTGTTTAAACTCTTAAGTGCAAAACTTTAGTCTTGGAATTTGAAATTTTCTCATTCTTCCCCAAAGGCTTCACATGAATGATTGCATGTTTTGCCTAGTTATTAGTTTATAAGGATCACTTGAAATAAAGGATGATAGACTACAGGATTAAAACAGCAACATGTGATTTTCACACTTTGTCAATTCCTTGTCAGGAGAGAGGAGACTTAGAAACATCAGCTGTTTTTGATTTAATTAAATTTGCCAGTGTAATTATTGCTAAATGTATATCTTACAAATAAGTCCAGGTATGCAAGATTTTTAAGCAGTCAGAATATTTTTTTTTTTCTTTGAAGTTTACATTAAAGGAATCATTTAATTTCACAAAATGAGAAACTGTTGGAGAGGCCTTGCATTTTATTGAATTACAGTGTATTAAACAATTTCAGGAATAAGGGACTGAAATATCGTATGTCTGAACCGACAACTTATTACAACCACAATCAAAGCTGTTAAAAGTACAAAGCTTCTGTCGATCTCCAACTTAAGCCTCCAAAGTCCTGCACTTTCGTTGTCTGGTATGTCTGCATCTGTGTCAGCAGGGGTCTGTCGGGGAGGAAATACATGAGGCTAACAGATATTATACAGACGTGAAGAAGATTATTTTGCGCTAACTGTAGGTGAGCTGAAATTCTGAAATTGAGTGTATATTATGTGTTCTGTCGTGCATAGATTAAATGTAGTGCAATGCTGGACAGAGGTGGATTTAATACCTTGTTAAAAATTGTGTATTTAAACTATGTGACATAGAAGCCTAAGTCTCGGCCATGTCTGGGATTAGCCACAGTGCAGTGGAAAAGCCATGTGCCCGTCTGATCTGTGAATGCATTGCTGTCAATGTGCCAGTCGAGCGAATATTGCCTGAATGAAGAGAACCATAACTAATATGACAAGAGAACCGTGGCCAAAGTGCAGGTGTGGACAACAGTTACACACTTTATTTTGATAGGTGATGATCAGTTAATGTCGACTTCACAGTTGTGTGGCTGCTGGTTTTCATAGTCTTGTAGTTATTCTATAACTTGATTTTACAGTTTGGATTTAGATTTAACCTTGAAGTTGTTCTTCAGATCTTTATTTCTCTTTCTACCTTTGAATCTGTTGCATGTCTGGATGTTCCTTTTGACTGGCTCTAACTGCTGGGGTTCAGAAAAGTGTATCGTTTTATATTTTGTTATATTTTGCCACCGTCTCCTCAGTATTTGGTCTGATTGCTTTGTGCATTGATAAAGGTGGCAGAAATGAATGCCCCCATGTGATGTTATTTCCAGGAAAGCCTCAGCATACATTTGGGAGTTTAGGCTTCATTTCATTTCAGTTCCTTTTCTAATAAAGATATTGTAGTATTTGGGACGGGAAGTTAGTAACAGGAAAAGCTTTTAAACAGATCAGGGGAAAGGTTTTCAATTGGAGCTGCTGCTGTCTATGAGTTCTATTGGTTAAATTAATTTAGAAGCAGAATATAGCGACGAAGAAAGGAGGAAGTAATTTAATGCTTATTGGATCTGAGTGCAGTAACTGAAGCAGTGACTGAGTCCAGGTAGCTTATAGTACCATCTGTGACATAAAGCAGTTCAGAACTAGATAGCAAATGAATTAGAGCAGCGTTACATTAATATTTAGATTCCAGCTGAATTGACTGTAAGCTTCATCAAGAAACACTGAACTATCTAGAGAATTATTCACAAAAGACCACTGTGATTAGATGTTATGCTATATATTAAATTGCATCCATATTCAGGGATACATGGAACAGGTGCTAGTTTGCACAGGGCACAGGGCTGGGGTCCACCCTGGGCAGGAAGCCAGGCCATCACCCACATGGCACAGAGTGAACATGCCGAGTCCATAGACACACACACATACACACACATACACAGACACACACTCAGACAGACACACACACACACACACACACACACACTCAGACACACAAGCAGTACGCAGGATTCGAACTCCCAGTATGAGGCAGTAGCGTTACCCACTGAGCCACTGTATAATATATAACTGACTTATTATTATTATTATTTCCTGTTACAGAGTGTATGTGGGCATTTTCATCCTACCTGAGTAATTAAGCACTTGACTGAACAATTTATTTGCTTGATTGCATTTATTCTGTGCTGCTGTAAAATTGTGAGCTGTTCAGAAAGGCTGGAAAACCTTTATGCACAGTCAGGTTGTGTGATCTGTCTTAAAAGATACATAAAGATATGCCGAAACAATGCAGACATTTTCTGAATAGTGAACCAGGAGAGCTACTGGGATTTTAACTGGAGTTTAAACTCTTTAGCTGAGACTTATGCTACGCAGTGTAAGAGCTCAAGTTGCGTACATTGTATCTCATTACAGCCTCACCTGACTGTATAGTCTACCTAATTTGTCAGTGAAAGTTCTGATTGACCTTTGTGGGTCTCTCACCTGCCATGAAGCACTGAAGTCGTTACCCATTTATACCCCAGTCACGCCCCTAGGAAGGCAGCGATAGGTGGGAAATCATATTTATACTGGTATTAAGTTGGATTTTACCTTTTTAAAAAGTCACCACTCCTGTGTTTTTTGTTAATTGAAAACTTGTAACAAATGTCCTTTCACTGTGTGTATGTTTGTGAGGAAAGGTGGTTCAAAAATGCTAATCAAAAACTTGGCAGACTGTTTGCCTTATTGATGAAATGGTTGGATGTAACCAGCGATGGAAGGTGCATTAGCATTTATCCAGAAATCAGAAGGAAGGAATTGACGATTCTTCATTCTCAATAGTTTGCTTCTCATTCAGCTAGTTTGAGCTACAAGGTAAAACAGAACATTTGGTGTAAGGGCTCAGTGCCCGATATCTGGTAATCAGTGAGAGTGCCTGCAGCTGATCTGTGAGAAGCTGGGCCTCCCCTTGGCTCTTCTTTGTGCTACAGAGCGGCTCTCTTCCTCCCCCAAAGACCGATGGCTGGTTCCTGTTACGCAAACGAGGGTAGCATCCTGTGACTGATATCGGTGTATATTCCCAAATGCTCTGATCTAATTACTCTATCTTTGTTTAGCACATGCAGAAGATTTTATGTATTAAGTACAAAGCAACATCAGGTTAAAGTTCAAAGAACAGTAAATATATTTACCGAACTTAATGTTACTCACAAAGATAGAATGCTAAAATAAAAAGCAATAGGGATCCAGTAGCTTTGCTGATTGAAGCCCTAATAATAACTGAAGACCTCTAATACTTCTGGACATTATATTTGGTTGAGGTCACCTGGGTTCAAGTCTCTGCGGTGCATGTATGGAACTTGCATGTTCTCCCCATGTCATCGTGAGGTTTACTCTGGTTTTACTCCCTGCAGTTCAAAAACATGGTAATGTGAGCTGGAGTTGCCAAATTGTCTTTCGGTGTGAAAGGTGAGTGTGCCCTGCGATGGGCTGGTGCCCCATCCTGGGTTATTCCCTTTCCTGAGCCTGTAGCTTCTGGGACAGGCTCCGGGGCCCCTGTGACCCCGCACAGGAAAAGTGGGTATAAAAATGGGTGGATTATTACTCATATGTGGTCTATATAGTTCACTGTGATACTTTAATTTTATTTAAAAAAAACATTAGGGATTGTTTTCTTGGTCTGCAGTTATTTTTCCTTTATGGAAACTTAATATTCAAATGACACTATTGGCCAGGAAAACATGGAATTTGACCAATAATTGTTCTTTCTATGAAATATACAGTCGTGTGAAAAATAGGACACCCCTAATTAAATTTATTAAAATATTTAATTCTTTATTAAGAAATATCAAAATATCAATATTAAATCTTCTTTCAGATTATGTCTGTAGATAAAGGGGATGTAATTGTCACCTATGCAAAAGCAAGAAACAAATTCAAAGAAAATAACTTAGATTCCAATTCCTACTGAGGAAAAAGTTAGGACACCTTGTGCCCTAATAGCTAGTATTTCCCCCTTTGGCTGAAATAACCTCAATGAGACATTTCCTATAACCATCCATCAGAGGTGTAAAGAGTACCTGAAAACCATACTTGAGTAAGAGTACAGATACCTTACTGTATAAATTACTCCATTACAAGTTA